CTTGTACCGGGCGTCGGAACCAAAATACGAGCCCAATACCATAGTTTTTTAATCAATTTTCATTTCCATTTTTCTTAATAATTTCAGAAAAACAATTTCACAGAAAAATTCATTTCTCGGGCTCTCGACCTCGAAATTCGACTTCGGGCATATGCCCGAGTCTCATATTTTTCTACGGACCCTCCGGGACCGTCAAATCACGGGTCCGGGTCCGTTTACCAAAAATATTGACCAAAGTCAACTTTAATCATTTTAAAGCCACATTTTGAAATTTTTCACAGAATTTAACATATAAGCTTTCCGGCTACGCGCCCGGATTGCGCACGCAAATCGAGGCAAGCAGAAATGAGGTTTTCAAGGCCTCGAAAGCACGGAAAAGAGAGAAATCCGGTGATGACCCTTTGGGTCGTCACACATTTATCCATCCATATGACTTTACTGCATCTAGGTAGGTTATATTATACCATAACTCTTCATTCGATTTATTGTTAGTGAGGTCTGCTACCAAACTCCAGGTTACTTTCGTTGCTTATCCTATATGAGAGCCTCGATCAGACACACTTCGACGAAACTCATTTTCTTTGATTTGCTTACCCTCTTACCTTCTCAAATTTACTTATCTCTTGTTTGAAATAGAAAAATACTTATAACCTCAAAAATAATCTCATTCCCGAGCTACGTCGATTAACTTACGGACGAAACTTTAACGTACAAAAATGCGGGATGTAATATCTCATTTCCGAGCTTTCATCAATTTACTTTTGGCGTACTTTCACGTATGAAAATATGGGGTGTAACAATTTATAACTTCTAAGAACAAAATTACCCCTCACGAGTTTAATATAAAAGACAACAGAAGTCTAAATTAATAATTGTAGAACTTTGATAGTTTTATAATTTTTCCTTTTGTAAGTTTCAAGGGTGTTTCGTATACATTTATTTGCAGTACCGCGTTGATGTTCTTTTAATTAAGACGGTCTTTTAGAAAAATTTATAACATCTTATTTTTCTGTTGATATGCTTCCTTTGATATAGAGTGTTGATCGTCAATTTTACATATGGGGTTTAACGTCCAAAGCTTGTTCCTATACGAAGTCACAAGGTGTGGATAATTTTAGCATTGGAATTAAGTTGTAGTAGAAATAGAGTTCTTAATTGAAGAACACAAAGATGAACAATTGCAGTATCATCAATCTCCAAAATAATAACATATCCTAGGATTAAATGAAAAGGAACAACAAAACAATTCTATAGCTGTTGAGTTTCTCGGATCATAAGGGTCTCTTTGGTATATTTTAATATTAGTTTTACATAATTATATTTTCTTTAGTATTCTTTTTTTAACAATACCAAAATCAACATATATTGTAATGCATTCTCCAAGTAGTACACTAAAAAGAACAATATCGAGTTAAAGTATGTTTATAATTTTTAAAAGGACTGAATTCCTGTCATATTGTAGAATAAATAATACTCTTATTCTACTCTTTTATTTTTTAAAATGATGCCACTTCAAATGCAAGAGTCAAGCTTTTTAATCTTATCTTAGGTTAATTTTAAAATATAGATAAAAAATTATTTGATTGGCATTTTGTGATCTTCCTCGTGTAAAAGATATGTTCAATATTCTTGCGATTCAGAACCGTAGTATCTAACCAATATACTCTATTTACAAAAGAGCGTTGGATTTTTTTGGTGCGTAGAAGTCCTAATGCTTTCCTCCTATTTCTAAATTCTAACTCTCCATTGATAGTTCCTTTTTTAGTTTCTTGATTGGTTAATTCCTTCATCAACCTAACTATTTGTTGGTAAGTATCCTACCCGAGGGCCTTTTTTTTTGGGATAATTTCACATAAGTACACTTGGGGAAAGCATTTTTCAACCGGCTAACCCACAAATACAGTTTTCATGCGGTTGCCCACAAATAATTTCAGCGCCTAACCCACAACTTCATCAACTACACCCAAATCACGCCTAAATCGGATTTCACTTTTTTCTTTCATTTTTATCTTTACCCTTTTTCCATTTTCATTCTTATTTATTTTTTACTTCCCTCTGTATAGTAAACAATATCAGCAAGTTGAAGTAAAAAATAAAAACATATTCATCCTTAGAGTCTATAATTTTATTTTTATATTTTTTTTGTAAAATTTAAAGTTTTGCAAGGGAAATTCTTATTTCACTGGAAAAAATAAAAATTTACATTATTAAACACCTTATATACATTGTTATACACACAAATATAATCATGTATAATCTTGTATAATTGTGTATAATCATGTATAATTCTGTATAACTATGAGAATACCCACAAATATACATGGTTATACATGATTATACAAAGTATATATATGTATATACAACATATACATCATTCTTCCTCCCTTCAGAAGTTATTTAAAGTGAGAAGAAGAAGAAGAAAGGCTATGCGTTGGGATCGTTTCAGACTATGCTGTTAACATATGCTGGTGGTGTTGTCTTTACTGCCCTTGTCACCATCCCCAACTGGCCCGTCTATAATCGCAATCCTCTCAGTTGGTTGGACTCAAGTGAAGCTGAAAAACATCCCAAACCACTGGCTGCTAACTCCAGTTCAAAGAAAAAAAAAGACTACAAAAGATAGATCCGGTGTGGATTATTCAACAAAATTATTTTGTGGAAGAGGAAGATAATGAACGGAGCAAGGAAATCTGAAGAAGAATTCGACTATTTTGCCAGAGAGAGAGAGAAAGAGACAGAGAAAGAGCAAGAGATTGAAAATGAAAGAGAAAGTGGGGTGGGGAGAAAGTCTGAAAAAGAGTGTGGGCGGCGAGGGCTAATCAGTGAAAAAAAAATTTCAACAGTATAGAACTGGGCCATACCGGGTAAGAAGGGAAAATATGGGCCGTATTTTGTTAGAATAGTGGGCCAAGTGACATAGAGTGTAATTTCTTCTTTTTTTTTTCGAGAGGTAATTTCGAGAATCAACCAACGGAACCGAAAATAGAATTCTAAAACTAAATCAATATAGAATAAGAAGTAGTTGAACACTTCTATTAAAAAAATCACGATTTCATATTCTTTTTCAAAAACTATTTAACATGGTTATTACTTTAAACATGTGGTGCTATAGGAAAAAGATACTTATTATCCTTGCGAGTTGAACTCTTCTAGGTCTCTTTATGCTCTCCCTAAAGTCGTTTATGACTTAATATGTTTCTTTTAAAATTATAAAATTGTATAACAAAAGTACTTAAAAACTTTTATGGAATAAGAGAAGAAAAAATGACTGACAGTAGTACTATTTTTTAAAGATTAAATGTGTACTTTATTGATGTAGGTTAAATTATTACTGTTAACATATGTGGTCAAGTTGTAAAATTTTAGTAAGAATAGTGCTTAAAGTTTGGATGGAATCTATCTATATAGAATAACAAAGGCAAAATAATGTGGGAGTGACAAGTGGAATTACCTAATGCTAACACCTGTTAAAAAATTGAACAACTCTCCAATATAGTTGGAGCTTCAAAGTCCCACACGTTCACAGAAATTCTGAAATCTCCTAATGCCTTCAAAAACTCCCACACGCACAGGTAATTCAAACCTCCCTCAATTTATGGGATCCAGTACTCCTACACTCACAGGTAATTCAATACTCACGTTTTGGCTTTTACTCCCACGTTTTGCCTTACCGGTGCTGCTCCAAAAACCTCTCCATTAAGCAGAGAATCAGAATGTTCCTCCTCGAACATCACTTTACAATCTATTTGTTTGCGTGTGCTGGCATTGATTGTAAAAAAGAAAAAGTAATCTACTGTTACGTATGTTTTTACATATGTTTTGATAAATGTTATTTCATTGATATAACTTTTAAGTGATCGGGAATTTTTTACAAAGTACTCATTGTTCTCTTATTGAATGAGGCTCTTCATCCCATTTTGTGTATTATCTGCTGTGTATAAAATACTCAAGAAACGGAGCTTACACCGGAGCAGCGTCTGATGGTGGAAACAATCCTTAAGAGAAGCAACCTTTTAGCAACGCTCATCAATGATGTCTTGCATCTTTCAAGGCTTGAGGATGGAAGCCTTCAACTTGACATTGGGACTTTCAATCTTCATGCTCTCTTCAGATAGGTAAGCCTACTATTTCTGTTTACATGCATGTTCTAGATTATTTGAGAAAAAGAACTATGAAAAGAAGTTCTAGATCTGATAAATATTTTACTTGTGATTTCCAATTTTCCAACATGTTATGATGGAAACTATCGACTGATTCAGCTGTCTGCTTATTGCTTTAGGTCTTTAACTTAATCAAGCCTATTGCATCTGTGAAAAAGCTATTTGTCACGCTTAGCTTGTCTTCCGATCTGCCGGAATTTGCTATTGGAGATGAAAAACGGCTGATGCAAATTCTTTTAAATGTTGTTGGCAATGCTGTAAAATTTTCAAAAGAAGGCAGTGTGTCAATTTCTGCTGTTGCTGCAAAATCAGAATCTTTAAGAGATCCTAGAGCTCCCGAATTTTTCCTTGTGCAAAGTGAGAATCACTTCTATTTACGTGTACATGTATGTTTAGAAGTTTATTTTCATGCTTGATATTTAATATTTGCACTATAAATGGTAGTTTCTCTATTTATTTTTTTGAGATGGTGATTTTATTGCTACTTTTTTCCTGTAATTTAGGTAAAAGATACAGGATCAGGCATTAATCCGCAGGATATCCCCAAGCTATTTTGTAAGTTTGCGGAAAACCAGGCACTAGGATCTAAAAGTTGCGGTGGCACTGGGCTTGGCCTTGCGATTTCTAAGAGGTATCTTACTTCATTGGTGTTTGTTTTGAATGGGTTTTCAGTTTTCCATGAACTGGAGAACTGCTCAAGATTGAATTTTCATTCTTGGCTGATGCACATTCCTTGGAAAATTTGTTCATTGTATGTGGAGACACTTACAGCAGTGATTATTTGTCTAACGTATTGTTTAATGGCCTGGATCAGGNTAAAAAATTTTCTACGACACGGTAGATGTTATCAGCGTTTGTCAATTAAGTTATATTTGAGGGCGATGTTTTATGGATTTTGAGCCAATATGTTGGGAGCTTTCTTCTTTACTCTCCATCCTTTTAGGACTCAGAGACAAAAGAGAACCAAAACCCATAAGAGAGGTTTATGGTTGGTTTCATTCCATACTGCTAAATATATTATATCCTTGAACCAACATTTTATGTCTTCACATCTTCTACTTTGGTAATAGGTATCATTTGAACAAGCACTTCATATATATTAACAAATCATCTAGGATGTCATAAGACAACAAAACAAGTGAATAAAAAGACGAAATAAGTTATATAAGTGTGTTAGTCGTTCTCTCCAAATCTGTGAATGATAATCTTTTTCAATATATTATTTTTCATATTTATTTTAGGTCCGCATCATTTGTGTGTCCGCTACAGAGTAGACCGATCAAATTCCTTCTGGCAGTGGTGGCAGTGCAACGTAATGCAAAAGAAAAGTAACTAAAAATTAAGCCTTTTATCATGTTACAATATTTTCCTCTTAGTCTTTAAAGATTATCTTTGAATACGTGCTGGCATTTGTTTCGTTATTCTATTTTATCCAATCTGTGATGCTTTTTTTTTGTCTCAAGGATATTTAAATGCACAAAGTTATACTTGAGGAAGATGCACGTCTTTGATTTATCTTTACATATGTTCTGGCATCTATTTTGTTATTTTATTAAAATTTTGTCCAAAACGTGGGGCTTTTTTTACTATATCTTTTCACTGTCTCAGGGACATTCAGATGCACAAAGTTGTATTTGAGAAAGATGCATCTCGTGATGGAACTGCATTACTTTTTACGTTTCGTAACCAGGTTAATATACAATATTATTAAATTCTTCTATATTTGACTTGCTTTTCGCATGTATAGTGTGAATATGATGGAAGTTTGTTTATTATATTTCTACCTTCATATCATTTACCTTAAATTTTAGACGTGTAAGATCAATTTTCACATATAGTCTTCCTTTCTATAATTTCTTCATTCATCAGCTATTTTTGGAGATTCTTTTTTTTGTTAGCATGCCTAGTATTGTTGTTATTGAGAACATTTTTGGAAAAAGTTTGTGCAAGGGCAACAACAGATATTAGTCTTCATGCTGTCAATTGGAAGTTTATTCATTCTAGTTTTATTTTGTAGATTCTTTACATGTCTTTCTTTCCATGAATGGTTGCTATCACTGAATTCTGATCCTTAGCCATACATTTTCTTATATTCTTGAATGGCTTGAAAAGAAAAGTGAGGTGATGATGTTATTGACAAACTTAAGTCTCAACTCTACGTCTTTCCTACTTATATATAAGTCCAATTATTATGGACAACTTTTCGAGATACTACAAATAACTTTGTGAGGATTAATAACTATTTTTTACTTAGTTATCGTATGTAGCTTTTCCCTTTCAAGACTCTTTTGTTTAAAACTGCTTTTGCTTTAACAATTTTTGTCTATCCCGTTTACATCGAGTTATTTCCTTTGTTCAGCGACAGAGACGCGGAAAACATAAAAATTAAAGTCATCCTTCTCATTGTTGGCTTAGAGGCTGAATTTGATGTTTTTAATTTGGACATAAGGTTGAGCAACACAATCTGGAGGGAACAAATCCTCAACAAATGATTATCATCATGCCAAACAGTACATACATTAGAAGTGCAGAGCAAGGTTGATGTTGGAGGTTACATGGCGTCGGCTCAGCCAATCGGTGCCGATAATATCCGGACACTTTTAATTGGAGATCTGCAGTTTTGGATGGATGAATAATATCTCTATAGCTGCTTTACAAATATTGGAGATGTACTAAAATTTCTAAAATACTTTGTTGCTGCTGAGTGTTTTTAATATGTAAAACTGTATCATGGGGAGAAAAATAAATATATTAAATTGTTGTGAGAATACAGTTGTATATTCTTTGGATTGATTTTCTATTGAGGGCAATGCAGGTTTAACTGAGGTAAATGAATATTATGCATTGGTGTTTATATGCATCAACTGATTTTATATGATAAACAAAGTATCAGTAACATCCCTCTATATTATCTCGATTGAGAAGTTTGAGAAATTTGCCAAAATAATTTAAACGTTAAAATCATTTATTTTCCATAAATTTTCTAAATTATAGTCCTTCCTTTGTACTCAAAATTGCACAGTTGAAGGCCAACTAGCATGACTATTCTTGCAAGATTTCTTTCACAATATGAAGAATGCGGGGAGCTTCAGGTTAATTTAATTTTATATAAATATAAAGTTTATTGCTTGCAACACGCAAAGTAAAGTAGTATATAATGCAGTATAGTATAATTAGGACTGCAAGAAATAGTTTCGTAGAAACTCCAACAATAGAGCAGTGAAAATAACAATATTGGTAACATATTTTGTAAAATTACTTTTATTTAATATTTTTCGCGCATCGCGCGGGTAGGTATACTTGTAAAAAAGAAAAAGAAGGACGACATTAAGTTTTCATTCTTTTTAATATCAATGTGCATTTTATTTGTTGTAGATAGGCAAACAAGAGTTTTGATCTTGAGATTCTTGACGATCGAAGCAACAAAAAGTATAACATATATCAAGAACCTCATTTTATCCGGTATGACTAACATTATTCAGAAGATATTGAGTATTGAACCAACCATTATGTTGTATCAATACTTATAGTATATAAATAACAATCATCGAACTAAATGAATATAATATTATGCTTATTTTGATGTCAACTATTATTTTATTTAATTAACTTTTATTGCTTGACGCAGTATACATGTGCAACGCACGTACACTAAAACTAGTATAATAAATGTGTATTAGTCAAAACCTCATATGCTTAGTTCATTGATAAAAACGTGGACTTTTTTTGGCCAAGCTTCTAGGAGGCCAAAAGTATATTTTTTGGCCAAAAAAGTACTTTTTGAAAAATTTAAGCTGTTCGGCCAAAATTAAAAAATACTTCTTAGCAAAAGCAGAAGCAGTTTTTCTGCTTCTGAGGAGAAGTTACAAATTCTAGTTTCTTCCAAAAAGCAGAAGCAGAAGCAAAAAAGTTAATTTATCAAGACAAAAATAACCTTACGATAAATTTATATTTTTCAGATTATCCCTCATAATTTTAATTTTTCTTTTTCTTTTCCTTTTCCTTTTCCTTTTTTTTCTGTTTTCTGCTATACATTTATTCTCTTTTTTATTTTAATCAAATTTGTATTCTCTTTATCCTATTCTTAAGAGTAGATTTTAAATTTATATTGAATGGTGTACTTGACATATTTAAATTATCATGTAAATAATAAGTAATTCCAAACACTTAATATTGTTGCTTTGGAATAACTATATTTATATTAATTAGAATTGTTAATTTATACGTTTTATATTTTAATTGAATTCTTTTCTACTAAATGTTTATATTTATTTTTCTTTTCGAAATAATACTATCTTAAATTTATTCGCTTCTTGTAGTATCTCGTACACAATTGTGATAGAAAAAAATGAGTTTTTATGATTTTATTATGCCATTTTTATTTGATTTTCACCTGATTTAGTAAAAAATGTTATTATTAATGATTCATTTATCTTTTGGATAGGATACTTCCGGTATTCTTCTATCAATACGAATTGACAATTTAATATAATAGTTGACGTTAAGGAAATCGTAGAAATTACTCACTTGTCATGGAAAAACTAATAAACATCAACATGGCAAATTAGCAATTGTTTCCGAGAAGAAACTCTATCGTGAATGGGAAATTACGAATATTAAATATTCATTCAGATTGACTATATTGGCTCACCTCTCATGTTCACATCCTATAATGTCACCAAATCTATCCCTATTTTAAGTAAAATATTTCAAACTTCTCGACAAGTTTGAAAGCGAACCTTTTGTTTGAAATTGCATCTACTTGCAATTATAGTTTACTATTTGCTCAAATTTCTAATATCTACTTATTTTGAAAAGGGACTTTAGGTGAGAAAGAAAATATGTTTGAGCTACAATTAATATTTGTCCAAACTTTTAAAAAATACTTTTAAATGTATTTTTCTCAAATGTGCTTTTCCAAAATATGTTTTGTGCAAAACCTATTTTTATCCGTTTCTCAAAAACTATTTCAGCTTCTACTCAAAATTACTAATTTTTTTCTAAAGGCTTGATCAAACATCTTAATTTTGCAAAAAAATAAAACACTTTCTGTAAAATTAAAAAAAAAAAAAAAAAAGATTAGCCAAATAAGCTGTTAGATGTTTCTCAAATAAAATTTCTAGTTTTTCCTTATTCATAGGAAATATATGTATATGGAATGAGATTTATATTAGCAAAATATTGTTATACCATACAAGTAGCAAATGCTAGATTATTAGTACCTTTAGAAAATTAAAGCAAACAGGAAAAAGGTCACATTATCCTTTATTTCAGTATCTTTCAATCCTAATAAAAAATGATTTTTGCCTTTCTAATATATATTCCATGAATCACTTAAAGCAAAAGTTGGAATTCAATTATTCAAATTTCCCTTTCCTTTAATGTTCTTTTCCTTTAGAAAGAGCTCAATTCCTGTGGGCTCTGAGACATTTACAAACAGTTTCACAAGTCTTCACCCTTAAGAAAAAACAACATTAGCTAACACAGAATGGTACAATCTTCGCTGCACCTGGTACAATACAAGGAAAGAAAAGATTAGTACTCTATTACTACAATTTCTTTCTTTCTACTCGTTCAAATCTTGATGTTTGAGCTGGCATTGACCGTTAAAACTTAAAAGACTTTTTGCTGCGCCTGCGAGTACTAAAACTAGACTTAGATTCAAAATATTTTAATAAACACAATCATAACCCCACGCGCAGTGCCACGCGCCACTTTCCATTCCTGGGCACGTTCCTTTTCCAGCTTCTTCCCCAAAACCCCCCGCTTCTCATACCCCAAAAAATAGAGATTTTTCTTAGATCTCTGCGAATGCGACAATGAGCCACCGGCAGCGTTCACCGCCGGCGGCGAGACAAGTCACTATAGACGAAGAACCTTACAACATCATCCCAATCCATAACCTCTTAGCTGACCATCCTTCTCTCCGTTTCCCCGAGGTACGCGCCGCCGCTGCTGCTTTACGTTCCGTCGGCGACCTTCGTAGACCTGCATTCAGACCTTGGAAACCTCACTATGACCTCCTTGACTGGCTCGCTCTCTTCTTCGGCTTTCAGGAATCTAACGTCCGTAACCAGCGGGAACACATTGTGCTTCACCTCGCTAATGCTCAGATGCGTCTCTCCCCGCCTCCGGACAACATTGACTCACTTGACCCCGCCGTCCTCCGTCGATTCCGCCGTCAACTCCTTAAAAATTACTCCTCCTGGTGCTCTTTCCTCGGTCTCAAATCCAACGTTTGGCTTTCCGACCGCCACAATTCCTCCGACCACCGCCGTGAGTTGCTTTATGTCTCACTTTACCTTCTTATCTGGGGTGAGTCTGCAAATCTGCGTTTTGTTCCTGAATGTTTGAGTTATATTTTTCATAACATGGCGATGGAACTGAATAAGATATTGGAGGATTATATCGATGAGATGACTGGTAGGCCGTTTTTGCCTTCAATTTCTGGTGAGAATGCTTTTCTGGATCGGGTTGTTAAGCCAATTTACGATACAATTAAAGCTGAGGTTGAGAATAGTCGGAATGGTACTGCCCCACACTCTGCGTGGCGGAACTATGATGATATTAATGAGTATTTCTGGAGTAAGAGGTGTTTTGACAAGTTGAAGTGGCCTATTGATACTGGGAGTACATTCTTTGTGACTACTAACAAGGGAAAGAAGGTGGGAAAGACGGGGTTTGTGGAGCAGAGATCATTTTTGAATTTGTATAGGAGCTTTGATAAATTATGGATCATGCTAGCATTGTTCTTGCAGGCTGCAATCATTGTAGCTTGGGAGCAGAGAGGGTATCCGTGGCAGGCGTTGGAGAGGAGGGAGGTTCAGGTGAGGGTGTTAACAGTCTTCTTCACGTGGAGTGGGATGAGGCTTTTGCAGTCATTACTTGATGCAGGAATGCAATATAGTATCGTTTCGAGGGAGACCCCATGGCATGGGGTGAGAATGGTGTTGAAGATCGTGGTTGCAGCAGGGTGGATTGTGGTTTTCGGGGTATTCTATGGGAGGATTTGGACACAGAGGAATAATGATGGGGATTGGACCAGCGCGGCTAACAAGAGGGTGGTGAATTTTCTTGAGGTTGCTTTTGTTTTTGTTGCTCCAGAACTGTTAGCTTTGGCACTCTTTATTCTGCCGTGGGTAAGGAATTTTCTTGAGAACACGAACTGGAGGATATTTTACCTGTTATCATGGTGGTTCCAGAGTCGGACGTTTGTGGGTCGTGGGCTTAGGGAAGGCCTTGTCGACAACATAAAGTATTCCCTCTTTTGGGTGGTAGTGCTTGCGACCAAGTTTTCCTTCAGTTACTTCCTACAGATCAAACCTATGATTGTTCCAACAAAAGCACTGTTGCGCCTCAGGGATGTGAAGTACGAATGGCATGAGTTTTTTAACAACAGCAACAGGTTCTCAGTAGGATTGCTTTGGCTTCCCGTTGTATTGATTTATCTTATGGATATTCAGATATGGTACTCAATCTACTCTTCATTTGTTGGGGCTGCGGTCGGATTGTTTGATCACTTGGGCGAGATTCGGAACATGCCACAGTTAAGGTTGAGATTCCAATTTTTTGCAAGTGCAATTCAGTTTAATCTGATGCCAGAGGAGCAGTTGCTGAACGCCCAAGGGACTCTAAAGAGCAAGATCAAGGACGCCATCCTCCGTTTGAAACTCAGATATGGTTTTGGTCGACCATTCAAGAAGCTTGAATCAAACCAGGTAGAGGCTAACAAATTTGCCTTGATTTGGAATGAGATAATTGCAACTTTCAGAGAAGAAGATATTCTGAATGACCGTGAGGTTGAGTTGTTGGAGCTGCCGCAGAACACGTGGAATGT